GCATGGTCTGCTGGCAGACAGAGTCATCCCACCCCCCCACCCCCAAATATAAATGTCAATCATGCCCACCAACCTGCGAGATTAAAATGCGAAACAAGTAAGAGGTGGGCTTGATAAACATCTCCAGAGGGCAAAATTTCGCCATCAAACACTTCTTTATTAGCTGCGTCAGGTCTGTCCCAAAGCTCTATATGGCAGCATTAGGATAGCTTTGTCAGGTAGCCTGGTGAGTTAGACACTCGAAAGGCTTAGATTTATCATTATTGAGCACCACCATGAACCGATAAAACGGTTAAACGAGGGTTTAACAGAGCAAACATGGCGGTAAAAATAAGTTCTGTGCTTCAAATTGTCTCCTTCATTCCCTGTGAATTGTTCACTGTTGGGTGCATATCGAATATGTTTGGGCGGCTGTCGAATTAATCCGATTTATGTATGGAATACTTACAAGTTTGCAGTTGGAGCATCTTGTAGAGAAAGTGGTCAACATTTTAGGCAACAGATGGTACCTCTAAATGCAATCTATAATGAATGAAGAATAAAGTTGTATCACACTCATATGATACCAAGAAAACAAAGTAGTTAAATAAATATAAAGACTGATACTTTTCTGGCAAAAATTTGGTATCAGCTGATTTTACTTAAATCTGGTGACATGAGTGCTCAAATGGTGATATTTTATCTTGTAAATGTAATTTAGAAGACATTTCATGACTTGTTCACTACTGCATTTCGGGAGTAATGCGATTTAGTGGTCAAGCTTCCTCGGGAAAAAAGAAATACGTGAAGTAAAATTCTCTGCCAAGCCTTGCTAGCGTTTGCATTAGGCTCTGCTTTCTTGGTGTGGTGGTGAGACCAAAACAATAGTGGATGCATGAAAACCTTGCATTTGGCACACAGCTGCCGATTGTGATGCATTTTGTAAACGAACCAAACTTAATGCGCGCAAGCGGCTGGAGTCGCTGAGGTTCATGGGCTTGGAGGTACCTGGCGCCCTTACTCTGTGCACACATAGACATAATTCAGATGTAGGTGAGGCAGGACATAGCCATAGGTGTCCAGGTTCTGTGGAGCCTCGTTTATGCTTCGTGGTTTCAAGTGAGCTCGGTTTTGGATGACATCTGAAAACCTCAGAAAGGCAACTGGGGTTTGGCATGTGCGATCAGACAATGTCAGACAGGAGTGAAAAATTCACTTAAAATATGGGGAAAAGGAGTGAAAAATCCTCCTCATAGGGTGTTGCTTTACACACAAAGTCGGCAATTCTATGACACTGCTCAAAGGTGTCAATAGAGGCAAGAAATCAGCTCTTAAAGATAAATTTCACCCAAAATTTACCTCATTTTATAGTGAATCCAGCGTAGAATTCAAGGAATAGGGTAGATCAGAGACATACGTTGCTTTCCGAAAACTCAGGCCGTAAGGGCAACAGCGGTTTGTTTGACTGTCGTCGAAAAATGGGCATGCTCCTTTGTCACCCAGCCACGTAGGCTTTGTTGTATCGCGCTCGTTTTTCTATGAAATTTGCCACAGGTGAAATTTTGCCACAGTTTTAAATTTACTAGGCTTATGGCTATCCCGTAAAACGCCCAATGCGGTGTGGGACGAAAGAGGGGATCGATAGACATTATGCTAGACATAGATAGACATATATAGACGTTGTCGGTTGCCACGCAGACGATGCCAAGAAGCAAGCTTATGAAGTGAGACATCTCTAGCGACCGTTAGCAGTGGGTTTGATTACTAAGTTATGCCGTCCGCCTTTCGTAGAAGTTTAACAGGCGGCGAGCCGCGGAACGAACTTTTGCGTGTTAGAGTTCCGATAGATATGTTGGAAAAACGACTGACTATGAGAGGCTCGAGAGGAGGCTGGCGTCAGGCTCGGAATCTGTTTTATAAGCCGCATCCATCGATCTGCAGTAATTTGGGATTTTAGGAATTTTATGCTGTGCATCGTAAAAAAATGGCAAATGTTTTGCGTAGATATTGTGCATGACAAAATTGGACGACACGTCTGCTTGGTTCAATGACGTCATCTCTGCTGACCGAGGAAACGGCGCATTTTGCCTGCGATTGGTGTCGGAAACATCGGTATCGGCCGCTCCACGTTCAAGCGCTGAGGCACCTATCAGCCGCACAGAGTTCTGAAATCCATTACTTAACTACAGCCGGTACACTCGCCTGCATCGTCCAGTTTGTTTCACACTTTTCTGTTCGCCGAGATCTGGCATCAATTTTCAAAGCCGCTCTGCTCTGATACGAGCGGATCCATGTTTCGCTGTCATTGTCCGTTTTATATTACATCAATGTTAGTGTATCGCTGCTGCGATGCCATGTTCTCGTGATCTAAACTGGACTCCAGCCCACGTTCTTCATACGTTTTTTTATTTGGAATGTGAAAATATTATACACTTCACTCTGGGTGAATTTCGGAAATACAGTCACAGAGATCCTGCAATTTCGCAGCAGAATCCAGTCTGAACAAATAGCTTGCAGGCAAGTACTTAACAATATATACCGTTCAGGTTTTAAAACACGAAACATAGCATTTCATTGGGTTTGGTCCAAGGAGCTTATGCCCCAACTGAAGTTCCTTTATACAAAAACTGAATGAATCGGCAGACTGTACATAAGGACTGAATCTTAAATGTCAGCAGTCAGAACCTAATTTACCCATGCAATGATTCTCCCTGGCTCTCAAACGCCCTCGGGGCATTCATGACGCCACTTCCAAGCCTGTGTAAGTGCATGAAAGTGACACTGATACAGACTTATGAGCCTTTTCCTCCTTCTCTCACAACGCGCCACTCCTGCCGAGCTTTCATCGCTGCTGGGTCTGAGCGCTCGCCATTTATCAGCGGGCGTAGATGAGGTCAGAGATCAGAGGTCAGTAAGGTCAGAGGCCAGAGAGCACGGTCACCCGAGGCGATGGATCAGCTGCCGTGGAGTGGGGGGATGAGCATCACGTGGTGGTCTGTTTGCTGACCGTTTAGACACAGCCGACGATGGTTTAGCTGCGATGAGCCCGTTTCGCGGATAGTTGCACGGTACCGGGGACCTAAATGCTGCCATTGGGACCCTTCAATGCATCTCGTACGAAGGTCAGAACGCCCCTGAGTGGCAGGCGTCGGGGAGGGGGGGGGGGGGGGGATGTGGCGGGTGACACGGGCGAATGGCTGCACCGGTGCTGCGCGGGATAGCTGCTGTCGAGGGCACGCTTTCCATTCGCTATCTAACACCAGTGCGTCGCGAAGACGCTAAAACTTATGAGCCTCTACACCTGCTGTGTTATTTATTTTGTGACAATATATATGCGTATTTCAAGTGGAATAAATTACCGTACAGGCCTTCCATAGAAAGAAGCATCAAATTCTCCAGCATTTCAAAGCGGACTGTCATGTGGCACTCTCCATTGTCATTTCCGTATTACCTAAATCTTAGGTGATCACACTATAAACTCACCCGCTGCAGCTTAGGTCTGACGGGAGTCAGCCCAGATAGGGCGGATACACGACGACGGTGGTGTATATTTGGTGAGTATGTTGCTTATTCGGTGCTATATGTATATATATATATATATATATATATATATATATATTATAAATCACATATGTGGCAAATCAGCAAACTAGCTGGCTTCTCTGAATGTTGGCGTGCGACAGAAGCGCGCTGTGTCAGAGACTGGTGCGCACAGGCGTACATCGTGTCTGGGGCGAATGCCGCATCACGCAACTATCACCCCTTAGCACCAATCACCATACAACTGTCGCCTTACAGAATCAATCATCATGCAACTTTTGCCCCACCATGCCAATCCGGACCAGCAGCTATTTGGGCCACTTCTCCCGAAGGCTGTCCCTGGATAAGTAGTTCTCAGTTGGCGTCTGTTCGCGAGACGCCGTGACTTCACACCATCTTCACCAAATGACGCTCCATTTTCATCCGGTGACGGTCCGAAGGGAAGATTCGGGAAGACAAATGGTGCGCAGCGCCTGTGTGGCCACCTCGCTCTCGAGCCCTGCCGCAATTAGTGGGAGCTGATTATGGAAATTGGGACAAACAGGTTCGCTTGCAATACGTCGCCGGAAGAGACGCGCTGTAGGATAATTAGGTTGGCGCCTGTCCATGTTCGTTCTAATATATTAAAGAAACGCTGCTTGATACGCATCTTGGAGATTTGGAGTCATTCTGGCACCTTCCTCCACCTAGGGAGGGTGCCAATTCTTAAATCCATATGAAGGGCAAATCAGGACTTTGAACATGCGCCGCCGTGTGTGGTTAGCTCGCTCCTGCAGAAGCCATGCACGGAAATGCGAACAGAATGTGTCTTCGGCTGCTGAGTCTTAAAAAGTATTATTTAATAATTGAGATTGCAGGTATATATATATATATATATATATATATATATATATATAATATATGTGTGTGTGTGTGTGTGTGTATAAGGATTTACAGAAATATGTGTATATATATATATATATATATATCTGTTCTATGATGAAATATGATGATACTATGATGCCGGTCATGATCATGCTCTGTGCGATGTCTGTAACCTATCGATGAACGACATTAGTACATATAAGAACCCATAGTACATACCCATATAAGAACCCACATAGTGTCGCCATGTGCCAGGCTTCTGGACCTTCTGAGGGAGCATAGCGGGCGGTGTTTCCCATAGCAAGATCAAGTGTGTGGAGGTGACGTTAAAATAATAAGATACGTGATTTGACGTGATGCGAGATGAGATGAGGTGAAAAGAAGTAGTTGAGGTGAGATGGGGTGGGACCAGACGAGGCGGGTTCAGGGTTAGATGAGCTGTGGTCAGATGGAGAAAGGTAGCGTGAGACTTGCTCGGGATAGACGCCGCCAGGTGACAGGAAGTGTGTTTCAACGCACGGTTTGTCGTCCTTTAAGCATCACTTTCCGCTAGTATCGACCGTATGCCTTCCCTCATGTTCACCCCTCGCCGTATTCGCCGTTCACATCTGTTGCAGGTTGGTGACGACATCATTTACGCCTATTTTCTGGTGGAGATGTTGATCAAGATGGTGGCGATGGGTGTGTATGGCGAGAGGACCTATCTGGCTGAGAGTTGGAACCGGCTCGACTTTTTCATCGTGGCTGCCGGGTAGGTGTCGTCGGTCGCCGCTAGATGGCAGTAGTGTGCTCTGACGACATGTGCAGGGACCTTTCATGCGTTCCATTATCATTCATGTTGTAAACCACGTATATTCAAATACATCGAGCACTCCGTGAAGATGGGCGCAAGTCTATGTGTGAAACACAACGGCAAAGCTATAAACCCCTGACTTGCGGTGGCACTTAGCTGATGAAAAACTCACCAGCCATTTGGCAAACAACACCAGCATGAGGGACGCAGGTCTGCGGCCTTGCGAGCCGCGGCGACCGGTTCCACGCAAATCAGTCAGACTGGGTGCTTGGCGGGTGCTGCTGGTGTACGGCAGTCATGTTAGAATTAGTCGTCTCAGAACATTGGCGAGCACTCACCGGAGCGCGTGTGCACGAAAAGACCTGGACCCGACATAAGTACAAAATGTTGAAAAATTGATCGTAAAGCTTCTGCAACTGAAGAGCACGATCATAGATGTGCCGTGGTTTCCCGCGTGTCTGCTCCGGTACGCCTCCCACCCTCCATTCAGAGTGTGCCTGCTCCGGTACGCCTCCCACTCCCCATTCAGAGTGTGCCTGCTCCGGTACGCCTCCCACTCCCCATTCAGAGTGTGCCTGCTCCGGTACGCCTCCCACTCCCCATTCAGAGTGTCTGCTCCGGGCCTCCACTCTCCATTCAGAGCGTGCCTGCTCCGGTACGCCTCCCACTCTCCAGAGTGTGCCTGGCTCCGGTACGCCTCCCACCCCCCATTCAGAGTGTGCCTGGCTCCGGTACAGCCTCGCACTCTCCACTTCAGAGCGTGCCTGGTGGCGCCCTGCCTTAGTGGAGTGGTATGTCTCACCCTTCCACAACGCTGCATTAGTCATCGACGTTCTGCCCTTCACGGTCCAGGTCATGAGCAGTTAAGGGCGAGGCGAAGCGAGGGCGCCCACACAACCAACCATGACTCTCAACGCCAACAGACGAGCCAACACGCGAACCCCATCCCCACCGCGCTGCGAGGTCGCGTCGCAGGGGGTCGGTACACGGAGACTGGCGGGGGCTGCCCGACTGGAGGGCTGGGGGCCGCGTGACGGGAGGGCTGGGGGCTGCGTGACGGGTGGGCTGGGGGCTGCGTGACGGGTGGGCTGGGGCCGCGTGATGGGAGGGCTGGGGGCTGCGTGGCGGGTGGGCTGGGGGCTGCGTGACGGGTGGGCTGGGAGCCGCGTGACGGGAGGGCTGGGGGCCGCGTGACGGGAGGAATGGGGGCTGCGTGACGGGTGGGCTGGGGGCTGCGTGACGGGAGGGCTGGGGGCCGCGTGACGGGAGGGCTAGCATCAGTTACCTCCATGGCACCAGTTCATTTTAGCAGGGGTGTGGCGCTGCCAGGAAAGCCAGCTTGCCTTAGTCGCGGATCGGAGTCGAGCTAAGCTGCTCTGGTGGACTGCTGCTGCCGGTTGAGCTCGGCTGTTTGTGTAACTTTAAGCGACGATTTCTTGGACGTCTGAAAGGGCTTCTGAAAGCAAAACTGGGATGCTTAACATAAAACTTTATAATGACGTGATATCAAAGGAACTCTTGCAGACCAAGCTAATAAAGTGCATTTCCATTCATAGTAATTAATCACAGTAATTATAGCAGGCCCTGCTGCACAATCTCCTAATTTCACGAGCACAAGAGTATACTCGAGTATGAAAGAGCGTTTGGGTCTGGATTGGCTTCAAGTGGCTTGAGCGTGCGTTTTAAACACATTGAGTTGACCAAGGTATGGTGTTGGAGCGAATGGAGGATGCCGTTTATCAAGCAAACATAACGGAGCCGGTGTTTGCATCGTGTCACCACATAAGACAATTTTTAAACGTCCTCGGTTTTGACCCCTGGCTCAGTCAAAACGGTCACAGCGGGCCTTTCAAGCATTCAAAAGTGGTGCTTAGCCGCCTTTGCATGCAGCCACGTCAAGCTTAAGGCCCTAAGCCATACTATCTTCAAACATCCATTCATGTATTTTGGACTGTGTATGTTAGTGCTTTTCCTTATGCATCTGTTTAAAATATTTTTGTATTGCCACACCGTCTTGTTTGCATTGTATTCTATATCGCATTTTTGCCTTGCGTGTTTGTAATGTATTGCTGTGCTTTCGACCTAGTGTATTGCAGTGCGGCCTTGCATGTACAATATTGTATTTTTCAGTCTGATCGAGTACTGCTTAAACGTGGAAAACATGGACCTGTCGGCCATCCGCACAATACGGGTACTGCGACCTCTACGAGCCATTAACCGGATTCCCAGTAAGTTGCGGCGTGAGCAAAGGCCTGGTCTGATCCCATCTGCGCTCTCTGACTCCGGGTGCGCTCTGAGAGCCACTTCAGACGTCCCGCTGAGCTGTTGCCATAGATCAAACGCCGAGAAGCTGCTGAATGTGCCCGCAGACCCGACTGACAACGAATAACATTGCCTCTGATTCGTGGCCTGCATCACTTCACGTGTTGATTATAATTTGCTCATCTCAAGATTGAACCCAGCGGATAATTATCTTACAATTAAATTGGTCGGCGGCGGGCCGCCCGGGCATGTGATTACGGTCGCATCAAAGGCCGGGCGCCGATTTCAGTGGCGGATGCCGTTTCAGGTATGAGAATTCTAGTGATGCTGCTGCTGGACACGCTGCCCATGCTAGGCAACGTGCTGCTGCTGTGTTTCTTCGTGTTCTTCATTTTCGGCATCGTGGGCGTGCAGCTGTGGGCTGGCATCCTCCGGCAGCGGTGCTTTCTCCAGCTGCCGCCAAACGTGTCGTACGCGGGGTAAGTAAGTCTGATGTCGACGACATCTATGGCCGATGATAACGTCAACCGCTATGACGTGAATGGTGCTTTTTCCAGCTTCATAGCTCACTTAAAAAGGTCTTGATTACAGAGGTTAACAGCATCCAGCGCGCCTGAACACGGATGTCGATTTGTATGCTTTTGTGAGGGCCCTGGCCCTCCCCAATGTTGAGCGCTCCCCCCTCCCCCCTCCCCCCCTCCAATGGTGGCTTGGCCCTCCGCAATGTTTTTGGCTGGAATGATGCAAAAATAAACGTTGGTGAAAGATGATCATAACACAAAGACTATCTACTTTGATCTTTCTGCGTAGTAGTGTCTCGTACCACTCATAATAAAGAGTCATGGTTGCTCTCACCACAAGATGCAACTCGTAACAGCTGAGCGGATGAACGATGTAATAGACTTTCCATACCTAGCACCATAAGACACACAATGGTTTGTGAGGTTAAAATGAAAAGCTCTGGAAAATGAGGCCGACCTAGGTCCTTCGTGGCTAGTCTCGTCGTCGTCCCCCACAGCCAAAATGTGTGTCGCCTTCCATGATCGCCTCAGAAGAGCGGCATCGGCGCCCTGAAGTGGCCTCTGAAAGGGCGCTTTTACGTGCCGATCAGAAGAGATGCGTCCGTTCAGTGTCTGCTCCATGGATCTAACCTTGCATGACTCTATTCTGCTTAAATTAAAAACTTGTGTAAATTATACAAAGATTACAACATATATTGTTTAACCAAAATAAAGTGGGCTAAACCCGATGGGAAAAAGTGGGTGGGCGGGGAAATGTAGGTTGTCGGGCCTTTGGTATCCCCCCTCCTTATAATTTACCAAAATTGACACCCGTGCGCCGGAGCTCCAAAACACTTGAGGTCATGAGCAAGTCTTACAGGCCTACCAGGTAGAAGCACCGTTGCACTGGAGTGGTTTGGGAACCCCTGGACAGGTCACGTGACCGGCGCGGTCAAACGGCCGTTTGTGCGGGGCGAGCAGCTGAGGCCGCGTTCAGACAAGTGTACAGTGCGAACTTAGTTCGCTACTAGCCCCATTTGGCAAACCTCTTAAGCGATGCACCGTGCTGAGCTCAATTTATATTTGAGCTGCTGATGGAAGCACATACCTGGGATCAGTTGCACGCCATGCTGCATAGCACTGTCATGTGTGCCGGTCAATCCGCCTGGCCTGCATTGGACTGCTTCAACGCCCTCCTCTTCGCGCCGCGGATTCCACGTCAGAACCATGACGTCAGAACCATGACGTCAGAGCCACACGGATAATGCGCGATCACTGCGCAGTATCCGGGATCACTACTGCTATTTGCGAGAGCAGGTTTGTTTATGCATGTTAAAACGAATCATCGTCCTGGAACATACATTCTAGCTGGACATTTAAAGCTAGTTAATTTTACACATTAAGTTATGTAGCGATCTCAAGACTACGATATGGCTGACTTAACAACAGCTTAATGATTCATATGAATCGCTGAACTTGGGCTCCTCCTCTTTCTTTTCTCCGTGTCTTGCCTGCGTGCCTGCGATTTCACCTTTCACCGCTGTTCTCGTGGCATGCCGTCTGCACCGCTGGTTTTTAGTCACAACGTCGAATGTTCTCCTCCTGTGTGCCTCCTGCTCAAGAAAGAGGTCTCACCGCCGTACATGACCCGTTCCTCTTCTTCGTTTCGTGTCAGACTCGATTGGGTTCGGTTGCAGGCTCTCGCCGCTCTGGTTCTCGCCAGAACGTGCGTTCTCGCCATACGGTCATGGTCAAGGTCTCTGGTGGAGGGGCTCGCATACTGCCTTATGCATTCTTCAAACATCTGAATGCATCGCGCGATACATTTAGCAAAAGTGATGCCGGGCGAGGTTCGAGTATCTCCTCTAAATTTTGGTCTTATCGTGCCGCCCGTATCGTCCGTGCTAGCAACTGTTTGCTTTTGACGCTGCGATGTTTGTCAACAAGTTTTAGGCTGAAAATACGCTACATGGAAGGTCGCAGGGCCAATTCAGGGATGTCAGCACTGCACCCTGGCATGAGTAACGAGACGTCGCGAGACAGTGGGCTGAAACCCCACGTTAAGAGGGCTGTATGTTCGCTGTCCCTGTGCATTGCCTGCCCTTGAACAGGTATTATGGTCACATATAAGCCCTGTTCTTGACCTCATGAACGTAGCCTCACCCACTCATGTTCCGCTTCGGGCAATAACATTTTTCACCACGCGTCTCATGGTTCTTCCTCTTGCCTGATACGTATCGAGGCCTTCACAATTCACAGACTTTCCCGGAGCGTTACCTTGGTCTTTCGGCAAACTTTGCTTCGGTCGCCACCAGACCAAATTAAATCACCTTCTTATTCTGCTGGGAAGCTAAGGCGATCGGCGATAGATGCGTTCAGAATTTCAGAACAGTCGCTGCAAATTTGTGCCTCATTTTTTCCGAGCTCACAGAAAAGCACTGTACTAGCTCACGCACCAGAACATGTAAGCCAACGGTGAAGCATCAGTGGAGGCGGAAGTGCACCAATAGAACACTAAGGGTGCATGCACTTTCATCCGAAGAGCTGTAAACATAAGGCACTGCTCCGACGCGAGAGAGGTAACCGGACAAAAAGTTAAAGCTAGGAAGGAAAATGACAAGGAGTCAAATGAGTTAAAGTCAAATGGGAAAAAAGTCAAACATAATTTAAGTCAAATGCTAAACAGGCAAAAAGGCGATGAGTCAAAAAGCCAAAAGGTCAAATGGCAGAAAACCAAAGAGATAAAACAACAAACACAAAAGTTAAATATGCAAAAAGTCAAAAGGACAGCAAGCTAAATAGCAAAAAGTTAATTGCTTAAAACTCAAAAGATAAAAGCAAAATGTAGATACTCAAAAGACAAAAATTAAATGTAAGATCTCACAGGGGTGAAACTCAAAAGAGATTAAGTACGGAAGGGACTACGTCATGAATAGGCTTCCCACTTGTCTCCCAATTCCCTTGTAGCCTTCCCCACTTGTATATCAAAGGGAAAAGACGAGTTCCAAGCCCAAATGAAAGAAATCCAAGTTCCAAGCCCAAAGAAATCCAAGCCCAAATGAAAGAGATGCCGGGCAGCCCTCAAGCAAGTAAGCTGAAAAACTCTTGTCCATTGCGCGCTGATTTCCAGATCAGTTCCAGGGAATTTACTAGGCTGTGTACTTTACTAGGCTTTGTACAGCCACAAGTCTGTGCGTCTCACCTACATTCAGTCTGGGCCCCTTTAAGAATGTCAGCATGGCCCCTTGCACGCCTGCAGATACCCCTTAGTTGTGGGCGTAGTAAGTGACGGCGCAGCAGGGAGGGATCAAGGGAGCAGTTGCCACCCCATATTTGAGCTAGTGGACATAAATTCGTGTTTCTGACCCTTTCTGCATCAAGTCGTAAATCTGACTGAGGCTTCTACACAAAAGGTATCTGCTTACAGTATCCATGGAAAACTACATGGCTCATCCCATCACTATACCTGCCCATGCAATTGTTAATACTTTACCACTTTAACGGGCACTTGATAAAATTGGCCAAACACTATTAACAGTAGCTGTTACTCTTTACGACTTTAACCTATTCAATCACAAAAGTGACCGCTAACAAGCAACAAATTCCGTTTACAAATTTTCGTAGCTACCTGATGTGTAAAATTTTCTTCTCCTTTCATTAGTCTCAGTAATCCAACAAATGGTGTGACCTAAAGCTCCCTTAAGCCCGAAATGATAGAGAAACGTGACATGCACGTTCTATAGATTAGAAAAGTATGGTACTGTCTTGAGGGTTCGGAAAAGAGAATGGCCATAAAGTTATAGTGTGCGTTCCCTTATCTTCTTCGCACCAAAGCTCAAGAAACCCATTAGATAGCCTCCCCAGGAGGATTCTATGTGAGAAGACTCCGTTTTGTCTAGAGTGCCCGAAACCACCTGAAAAATCTTCCATAGCTCAAAATCTATGCCCCCGCTCGTCGGAGGGAAAGGCTCTGCTATGACCATGGTCTTCTGTGGTTCAAGGAATCGTAAACAGACAAGCTAAAAGACGTCACATCGCAAAAAATCACGGTGATTTAAGACCATTAGCCAGCGATGGAGCTTTCTGTTCAGATGCTATAGACATCACATTGCGAAAAATCATAGCGAGTTAAGACGCTTAGCAAGGGGTGTGGTTTCCTTTTCCGGTTGAGGAAGAGGCTTCGGCACCCACCTCTCACCTAGGCTTCAGCCACCAAATTTTGGGAGGAAAGTGGGCCAAATCTGGGGAGAAACCTGTGAAAATATGTTGGGGTAGGTTGAGCCAATTCTCATTTTTTAGCCAACGACCATTTTAAAAAACTACACCCTGCACTGCCATTACGCGAAAGAGCCCTTTTTATCCAAATCTGCGACCCGGCCTATGCTCCTTTCGCGGAGTTACAGAGCCGATAAATGACTTATTCCGACTGTTTGAGCGGGCGGGCTCTTAAAACGCTACCCTCCCCCCCCCCTGCACACACACTTTAAGTCCGCCCCGCGAACGCCTAACCAGAGGCGCACGATGTTATGTTTTGGAACCCGGTCAAATCCACGAAAGTCATTTTACAGCCTGCTCTGCCGTTGTTAATTTTACAGTTAATCCTTAAGACATGTTGTTAATTGACTTGCTTTCGACATTTATCGTTTTCGAGCTTAATACATCTGACCCTTTGCCCGTTTGGCTTTTGTCTTTTGATGTTAATATTTTTGACTTTTATCGCCTTTGATTTTTGTCTATTTGATTCTTGCAACTAACTTTCATCCTTTTGGTTTTTTGAAGTTTGTCTTTTTTTCCCTTTGACTTTTGGCTTTCTGCCCATTTTTCATTTGAATTTTACCCTGTCTGACTTTTGGCCCTTTGACTTCTTGCCATTTGACTTTGTCCTTTGACTTTTTGTTGTATAATTTTTATCCTGTAACCCGAGAAAAAGGGGCCAGCAGAGGTTTCCGATGGCTGGAATCGAACTCAGACATATGGCC